GTCGTGTTTTGTTGATTAGTTATCTGTGTTAAACGATCATTATTTAATTGAGATATTTGGTTCTTTTTTTCTTCGGTGTTTTTGACTTGAACGAAATTTTCATATTCGTTCGACGTGTTTAAATCAGAAAACATGTTTTGGGTGTTCTCGAAGTGTTTTTCAACATCGACAAGCACTTCTCTATCTGGAATTATCATCTCTCGCATTTTAATTTTAAGTTCTTTTTCATTCTGTTCAAACTGCGCTTGGAGTCGTTTTCGACGAAAAGTGTTTGTCTCAACTTCTTTCTCAAAGCGCATTTTTTCTTTGTTGATCATTTCTTGAAGCACGTGGTTTCTGGCTTGTGCAATTTCGTCAATGTCATTAAACAACTTTTTTTCGGTTTCGACTAAGAGGTCGATTAAATCCTCTAAAGTCGCTTTTGTCGTCAAAATCTCTTTTGCAAAATTGGAACTATTTATTTCACAGATTTTTTCCTCATCTAAAAAACAGTTTAAAAACTGAATTGCATTTTCAGGAGAATAAGATGAAAAATCGTCAGGGAGATGAGGGATATGCGTTTGAATGTGAATTTTCATGACCCTTTTAAGTGAAACAAAACATTCAGAAACGTCTGGAGAAGTGTGGTCAAGCACTTCATAAATGTCTCTCTTTTTCATTCAATTTGAATTTTTTAAAGATGTTTTTTATAATTGATATTCGCTTTCAATTAATTTAACAAATTATAATTAGGTTTAAATATGGGTTTAAAATAGTTGGTTAATGTTTTCAATAAATTATTATATTGTATATGTTGTACATTTATCATTGTATACAATTTAAATTAATAATATAGTCTGGTTTCAAATTAACGATATTCCAAAAATACAACAAATAAATTTACTATATCTGTTTTTTATATTATAATATATAGTATCGACCATCGCCAAGTATACGATGGTCGATACTATTCCCCGTTTTCGGTTTCAAGTACATGAAACCAAAAACGGGGACTAAGAGATGGTTCAGAGAGAGGACTGCTTAGAGTCATGTGAGCCTACCGAAGAGATGGGCGTTACATAATTGAATTCTTATTGTGATAGTATCGACCATCACTAATTAAAAACTATAAATACATAGTAAATTTCTTATAAAAAAATAATATAATTGTTAAATCATATTAAAAATAAATATTTTTTAATGCAAAAATGGGAAATTTCCCAAATTATAATCACATAAATCACTTTTGAAATGTTTTTTCAATTAAAAACGAAAAACTGGTGTTACACGTATCAAATAAACAGGAAAATACACGTTAATATTGAAAGTAATTTTATTTCTTCATTTTGATCTATTCTTATTTTACCACTCCACAAAAGGCTGAAAATAGCGTTTTTTTTACTATGAAATTATTGCAAATTTTGGAAATACTCCTTATGGGGGTATTCATGTTTGTATATGATTTTTGTCCCATAAATGATTATAAATAACAATTATTAATTTTAAAAACCATAAAATATGGTTTAAAACGGATATTTGAGTTTTTTCAACAAAAAATAAGAGGCTATCCACACAAAATATTCCAATCCGCAGGGATTCACTATTTCCGTGTGGATACGCTTTATCATGTTAACACTTTTAAATAATAACAAACTTTTCAAATTAGGTACCAGTTGATAAAATTATTGTTATCAGATGATAAAAAAATAATATAACATGCACTTGTTATTTTTTTGGTTTTTATATTTGTCATTCTATCACTTGTTACTACTTCAAAGCCATCCAAATATCTTTATACAATTATACCTAATTCAACAATACAAAATGCAATAACTTTTAATTACACAACTCCAATTTTTCACAACCAAAAAATTTTAACAACACATTTCAATTACAGTGGAGTCTGTAGCAATGTGTTCAAATATCAACCAAACAACAAGAGAGACTTGTGGCTTACAGCTGTTGGTATCACGAGTGATAGTTATTACAAGAAAATTATGAAAGAGGTTTCTCTTGTGCTTGGTCTTGCTCATTCATCAATTCCACGTGCAGATAAAGTGATTATACTTTTCAAAGGATACAACTACTCTGAACTTATTACACTTGCTCATAAGAACGGATTCAAAACACTTGAAGTTGACATGTCTTACATCAAGAAGTGTCAAGACGCCTCAAAACGATTTTTTGCATTCAAGGAATACATCCAAAACAACACTGAAAAATATGACAGGGTACTTATTACCATATATCCCCTAAAAAACCGGGCCTAACTAAACTGTTTTCAAAACTCTGTACTGGGACATCCAAATTTGTTGGACTTATTATTCCTAAATTATTTTTTTTGCTTAACCTTCATTTTTTGTTTAAATTATTTACTCAAAAAAACAAAATAACGAACCGGTTTTTTTAAATTTTACTTGACAAATAAATTTTGCACCAAAAATTTACTTGAAAATATAAAAAACAAACTTGGGATAAAATTTTGATTACCATAACACAAATTTTGCCAAAAATGAAAACATGACTTTATAATTTGATGTCAGTTTTTAAATAATCACCAAGTTGTGTTTCAGATAAAAATGAAAAGTATAAACGAGTAAAACCAGCATTTAAAAAACTTTTAAGACTTTTCAATTAAAAAGTATTATTTTTTATTTTTGAACTGTTTATTTTATTTTAGACTGTTATAATGAATGGCATTGTTCTTTTAAATGTTTGTCGTGTTATGTTATCGATGGCTATTTTTTAATTGTTGAAATAAATAAAAACTTATTATTAATTAAAGTGTTGTATTATTTGATGCAATAATGTCCTTCATTACATCATTAGTTTATCGTTATATTACATTTATCTTATGTTTATCTGAAACGTAGAATTTTACTCACGTTTAGTCACAAAATAAACCACTGACCAAATAACGAACCTGGAAAATCGGGGAAGATTTACCCAATATTTGTGTGATTTCCCGATTTTTTGTTTAATAATTGAAACTCTATTGGTTTTTAAGGGTTTTGAAGTGTGTACCGTTGTTGTTTCAACAAACAGGAAAATAAAAAATAAAACAAACAAAAAATAGTAAATAATGGGAAATTAGGACAAAGGGTTTATATAAATTGTGGAAACGGTACAGAGTTTTGAAATACAGTTTATTTTAATTTTTTTAAATAACTTTTAAATAAAAATATGGAAAAAAGAAAAGATCAAATAAAACCGTTCTCAATGTGAGAAAGAGCATCATATACTTTGTCAGCGATTTGGTAATACATCATTTTGATACGAGTTTCGAGAAGTCTTTGATCAATACTACTTACATTGAATGAGTCGTGTATTTTCTTTGGGCTCATCAAATTAATTGATTGTAAAATCCATTTACACACTTCTTGTTTTGTTGCATGTAAAACAACAAAACGCTTTTCTTGTTTTCGTTTTTCTTTATAAAATTAAATTTTCTTTATCGTTTATCCACAACGTCCACTCATTTCGAAGATTTTCTTTAAACCCATTAAACACACAAACATCTAATGATTGAAGAAAAGAAGTACAACACCGGGGAATATAACAGGTATAATATAGTAATCAAAATTTGAAGAATTGAACACTTTTTTGTAAACAGAAAACCCATCCATAAAAAAACAATATTGTGCGGTCCCATTTTTTCTTTGTATGGAATTAACACTTATTCTACCCATCTTCGCATTATCTCAGAATTATTTTCAATAACTGTTATTTACTGCAGCAATAATACCTTCAATTGTGGAGCATGTTTAAGTTTGGGAAAAACAACCAAAGGAGTTAAACCTTTTACACTTTTGGTTATAGCCACAATGACTGATATCTTCGATTTTTCTTTTCCACGTGTTGCAACTGAAACGTGTTTGACACCTTTCATTTCAGTCATTGTATTTGGACACATAT